TTGAGTTTATATGCAAACCTCAATACTCAATGCTATTTGTATGCTCTATGCAAACGCTATGTGTGGTGTCCAGTACTCTAACCCCTTTTACACCTCCTAAACCTGAGTATCAGCCCAAACAAAAAAAAACACGTATAATTTTTTTTGCCGCATACTATAAGAAAATGTTAATTTTGTCTAAATCCAGTTATCTCAGCACATGCCCATCCATTGTAAGTTTACAAAATTATCTAGCTTAATATTTATTTACCATGTTTTGAGCTAGAGTCTTTACCAGTCAATTTATCTATGTTAACCAACGCCTTGCAAATAAGTATCTGGATTGATTTCACGCTTGACTCTGGTCCGGCTGAAAATGGTGACCAATCGCAATCCTTTGCGGCGATTGTACCGGCATTATTGGCGTAATGATGGTAAACATTCAGCCAATCTCTTAGCGCCTTTCGGGTCGACTCTCCCGGCAGAGCACCAACCGATGAGTTTACCCATTTAGTTATAAAACTAGCAAGATTGTTTTAAAATTTAAATATAACATTTTATTAATTAATTTAATAAATTAAATGCTTAATAATTATAATTCTATGTTAATACAATAGATAATTAAACTAGATTACAAATACAATAACTAACTTAAACTTACCATAAAACATCCGGGTGACGTAACTTAGTATCTGGCTTGGCGGCATCGGCCATGGCCGAAGTAAAACCATCGCGATACTCTTTCATGTCCGAATTCATCTCGTTAATCTCGCGATACAAGTGCATCATCTCCTGATTGCGCCCGTATTTAGCCTTATCGCACAGTTGTTCAAACTCTTTTTCACCAGGGTTTTGTAGCACTTTGATAAACTTGGTGGCCAACTCGCTGGAGCCATACAGTTCAAGCAGTTGCTTATTGTTGGCCCCCTTGCTATGTTTGTGACTAGCATTTTGCATTTTATAATTAATGATAATTTTTGTTTATTAATAGAGCTAGTTTTTATAATTGTGTTTTTTGTTTGTTTTTGATACTAACGATTCACATAGCTGTTTTACTTTGTCTGTTTGATATGGCTGCGGGCTTTCCGGATCACCAAAACCAACAAATGACCTTAGTATTTTATCTAATAGCTCCTCGTTGGCGCAAGTGATACTATAAGCTGGTATATGACAAGTATGTAAATTAGATTGTATAGTAAATTATGGGTAAACAGGGTATTAGAAAGTATATAATGATATAATAAAAAGTTTATTTATTGTCTATTTTGTATATGTTTACACAATATAAACAACTCAACTTAATAAATTTTAAATATTTGATTGTTTACCTGAAATTGTAATAATAAAGACGTGAATTAAGCGCATTGTATAACAAATTTATGTATTGTTTTAACTAATTATAATTAATCATGTAATAATTTAAAAGTATATGTTTATACGGTGTGAATCAAATATGATTGAACACAACATAAAAATTATTTTAATTAATTACACATGTACATTGATTTTATATTAAAATTTTAAATATGGATGTCAGTAATTATACAAAAACTAATTACATATAACTATATATTAACTATTATATAATTTAACAATATTTAAAATATTATGTTGTATAAACATAATTGTATAATATGTAAAAAAAATTATTTATGTAATTTTAAAACACTATTTTAATATTACGTTTAAAATACTTAACATGTACGATTAAGATGTGTCTTCTAAACTTATTATACACAGAAAAACATAATTTGTTAACTATTTTTTCTAGGTAATAAAATTAAAACATTTTAAACAATTTAAACACCACTTATACTAAATTAATTATAACAAATATAACTTGATTAAACTTTTTATTTTTCATTAAAGTTTGTATATAAAAATTAATTTTGTTATATTAATAATATAATAGAAGTTTTATTTTCATAACGCATAGTCGCTATATATTTTGAGCACGCAATGTAAATTAGTTAGTTGTCTAATATTTAATCTGAGTTGGTTAGTTTTTGTTCATTTATATAAAATTAAAAAATTATATACAATTAAGTTGTAACATTAAAAACAATAAATTTAATAAGCTTGCAATGTGATGTTAAAAATATATAATTTGTGCTGTGAAACAATACAATTTATTATTTAATAATAAATATCTACATGATTTTCTAAATATTCTTACTTGTGATTAAACAAATAAAATTTAATAACAAACATAAAACATAATTATTTTTAAAAATTGCATATATATTTATTATTTTTTATTGTAAATAAAACAATAATATCACTTTAACATTACAAACTCAAATTGTAATTGTAGAATTAAAAGACCTTGGTGGTTTTGGTGGCACAGGGGGTGGAGGGCCGGGCAATCTAGACCTTTTAAACGTGACACCCTTTACCATAGGAGGGGGTGGTAGTCTTGGAGGGGGTAATGCCGGCACTTGTGTCAGGTCCCAGTTGTCTATTGCAAAGGTGTCTATTGTTTGCTCGTTAGCTAAACATAAACAACATTAATCATAATGTATAGCACATAATTTAATTTCCCATACGTTTAACATTGCGGCTTAACCTCTGACGCAATTCCCTGACCAACGGGTCAGCAGCCGAGT